TTGTTATTTTTTATGTGAATTTATAGTATAGTTAAGTGTGAAAATTTGGTATGAGATGGGACCAAAATTTGTGTCTGATGATCACTGGATGTTGTTTTGTGGGTACTTTTGGTAGTTACATTCAACGTGCTTCGGTCAAATGTTTTGATGCTTTTTTTAGAATGTCCATGTCGGTAGAATTATGTGGTAGTGCAAAGTTTACAATGAACGCAAATGGTGTTAATTATATGTCTGATTGAATCTAGTCGACGCTGTTATGGTACATGTTCTACTCTGAAAATTTAGGGTTGAGGTAATGATTATCTGTGTATGTTCGATCTAGGAATTGCATTATACTTATAGAGTTCCGATTGCTTTTTGGCTTTATCCTAGGGAAATAAATGGATTACTTGAACACATTCTCGGTTGGGAATAGGTACTTTTAGCTGTCATCTGCTTCACTTTGTTTTCCATTTCCATAATGTGGTCTTTTGTTGAAGAGTCAGGTGCCATACCATTCTCTAGCGCATTTGGATTTGATACTGCTATGTCTGAGATATCTAAACTCTACTGTAAATGTTTTGGCCTTGATGGTAGTTGATGATTGAAACAACATATTCATTATTCTTCAAGAAACTCTGGTTAGGAATGCGTAGATTAATTGATTATTCGAGGGGATGGTACTATCTGGCTTATTTGCCGGAGTACTGAGTTGTTGAGCTCTCCCTTTTCATTAATATCTTCAAGACTGTTGGTCCTTTGGCTTCTCCTGATCAAACCATCATGTGCTTCAGAATTTGATTTGTCTCTGTTTGAAAGATAACATGCAAGTTCTTTTTTATGCTGACCACTCCAGAATGTTCCTGTTTGCACTTTGGAGCTCATTTGTTTTCTTTTGTTAGCTGGGTTGTTTTGCTGGCATGTAGACAAATATAGGCTGTGCCAATCAGGTGAAGTTTGCGAATTTAACTGTTGTGGACTGAATGGAAACTGATTTGTGTGTGGATGAGTGGAGGTGTATAATATTGAATTAAGCAAGTCACATGGTGAATCATGCTCAGTTGGAGTGGAACATTTAGGACCTTAATGCTGATTAGGTTGATCGAACAATAGGCATACAGTTGATACTGGTTAAGTATTCGTTGCTGGTCAATAATCTCTATATTCTGTATTCCTGACACACTGGGGTACTTGTTGAGTCTCTTTTTCATTGTGGAGGCACAGAGTGATAGAAGGTTTGATATAATAAATATTTGCTTATAGAAGCCATGGCTGAGATTTTACTTACTAATCATGCAATTATAAAATGACTCTGAAGTGCTTCATTTGCCTACAGTTAGAGGTTTTGGCTCCCTCTTATTTTTCCCAATTAAACTTCCAGCTAACTTAGTCTATGTAATAGGAGTGTAAAAGGTTTGATCAAGAGAGGCTTTTCCTGCTTCTAATATATGCTGTAGTTATACTGAATTAAATTTTCTTGTACTTGTCCTTGGCTGCTCAAGTTTTAATGTCTGACTGGCTATATTATGCCCCAATCACCTCCCAAGTTGAAAAAGAAAAGAAAAGGAGTAATAGAAGGAAAGGAAAGGAAAGGATATGATTCACTGGGCTATGGTTAATTCATTTGACTGAAGGAACATTTGAAGTTCAAGGAGAAGAGATCTTCAGTGCCTGTAGTGAAGTATGTTTCATGGTTGCAACAAGATACATGGTATTGGGTTGGTTTGAAAGATTTGTGTGAGAGTTAGACAGGGCTGTTGATGAGCATCAACATAGTGGTGGATAAGTGCAAGTGATGAGGATGGATGGCTGCTGGAACTAAATTACATGAAATGTGAATTTGAGCTCTGGAGCTTAATTCTAGAATGTAGATAAACAATCTCATAAACTTAACCGTATTGAGCTAAGTGAACTCATGGCTTGTGTATAGCCTTCCGAAACCGCAAGTGTTAAGGATGAAAAATCCCCCCTGCAAGCCTGTGTTTTTTTTCTTTCTCTGGGATGTAATTATACAGCAACATTCAAAAAGCTCCTGCAATTCTGAAATATTAGCTGTGGTCATTAGGTTCACAATCTTCTAGTTCTTATACTAGCTGACAATTGCTTAAACATAATTAAAATTATCCTATGCTTCCTCCTAGGTAGAATTTTCAGGTTCTTAAACTCCTCCAAGTTGTAGAGTTTTGGAGGAGTTGGGCTGTGAGGTTGTTAATATCATTTTGTGTTCAGTTGATGTGTGATTTAAGTGTTTTCATGCCTTTTTTTTTTTTTCATCCTCGCTTTCTCATCTTTTCTCTGTGGGAGTCTTATAGAGTTCTATCAAAGGTTAGGCTTTGGAAGCTTCCTTATCAAAAAGTTTAGGCTTCAAAAGAATTTGGTCCTGGTGGCAACTGTTCTAAAACGGCCATTAGCATTGCCAAAGTTCTGCGCAACTTTTTGTGCTTAAAAGGTGTTGTTGGATCTTGTGCATTAAGCATTTGCTTGATGGTCATCATTGAAAGCAGTGATTTACTTCCCTGTTCCAAATGTGCAAGCTTCTAGTTAGTAAAATCTGCTCTGTGCAATTGGTCCTACCCTATTTGAAAGTTATTAGCATTTGTTTTCTCGTGTTTTATATAGTTCTTCCTGACACAATTCACCATTTCTGTTGTCTGTTAAAATAGCAGTATCCCATAAAGAAACACCTTTTCAGCTACTTGTTAAGCAGCAATTAGTATTTACCTTATTTCAGCAAACTACTTATATGGTCTAGAGTCTTTCTGGGAATGTACTTGAGCTTCGTGTGACTGTTCTGTGCTTTAGGTAGTGCTGTAGAAGGTTATTTAAACTCACCCTGTTGAACAGAACTGATAAGTTTGAGCCATGCATAATCCAAGGGATGCTCCTTTCAATATGGATATAAGTTAATTTTCTGTTCCTGGACTGAATTGATTCTTACTGGCAGAGATGGACAGACTGCCTCAATGTCAAATTGAGGCAAATTCAAAAATGTCAACCATGTTTAATTGATGTTATTATGCAAATGAGAAAATGCCTTTTGCTAGTTAATCTTGATAAATCTACATCAATTCCTTTTTAGTCTCTCTCAAGAATCATTGTTTAAGCATTAATACTGATTTAGTCAAGATGATCTCTTGATTGCAATATATTTATCTGTCTTTTTGCATCTCATACAGCATCACATGGCTATTTGGTTGTCTTCACTTTGTCTCGCTAATTTATTTTTATTACATGCTAATCATCCTCTTTTGTCTGTAAGTTAGCAATATACAACTTCTTTCAGAACTTCTCATGGCTTCTTTTTCAAGGGCTCTCGCTCCATGAATTACTGGATTTGGCAGGATCTTCTTATAATAGAAACATGTTTAGTGTTGGGGTGATGTTAGTCAATTATAAACCAAGTTTTAGTTTTAGCATTTGTTTGGATTGCAGGAGGAAATGGCAAGACCATTGTGCAACTATTTAGTCACCTATAGTTTTCATGTTTTACACAATTCATTTACATTGACAAAACATTATTAGGCTACTTGTGATACTTTTATAGTACTATTTAAACCTTTGTGGTGTAATATTAATCTAAACAATTTACTTGGTTGTTCTGGTTTTAACTTTTGGATTTGTTGGCACTTGTAGGGCTCTGGCTAATGTGGCTGCTAATGGAGGAGATCATCGTTGACAATTCATGATGGTTTTGTTGTCATGCCGTCCTTTTATATGCCTCCTCTATACTATTTCCTTTACCTTTCAGATTTTGGACGTTCCTTCTTTCTAGAAGGATACACTCCTTGATCAGGACAGTTTTCTAATCCTATGATCTGGCCGAGCCTCGGAATCAACATGTCTGAAACACTATTGCCTTTACATGAACTTTCATTAAAAATTCTTCTCATTTCTGAAAAGTCATACAGATTTAACTATAGTGACTTCCATTCCTGGAAGGAATTACAAATTTAATGGGAATAAATATATAGTAGATTTTCCAAATGAATGGTTGTTTGCTTTAATAATTAGCTTCTTTTGTTCGCTATGCTTTTCTAATTGAGCTTTATCTTAGATATGCACAGACCTTGATGCGGGTCAGGAGTTAGAAAAGGTCAACAAGGAAAGAGCCGAATCGAAGACTTTTGGTTTTCGATGCTCTGCGAAGGCCAATTTGAGGATTGAATGAAGAATGAGATTAGACTTTCGGGAAATCCCCAAACCATCTTACCTGTATATAATGCCATCGTTGTTGAACAGGATTGATCTTTTAGCCCTCATAATTTCTCGACCCGACTAGACTTGAGCCATTGATGATTTTATAGAATAGTTAACCTTGGCCTTCTTTCTGGACGTGAATTTGGAGGCTCAAAATTAAAACCTTTGGCGCTTTAAGATGATGCTGTTTCTCGACTTTCCTCTGCCATCTTTTTGCTAATGGATCATGATGAAACATTCTATCCCATGCAGAAATGTGTAGCATGTTCATTAGATCGGCCAGGCATAAATATTACCAACATTAACGTAAAAGGTTGATACAACACGGACATGCTAATATGTTAAGGAGGTAAAGCTTGAATGTGTGTCTAAACTATATGGATTTGGTTCTTTACATCATTGTAAAAACAATTTTGGGTTATTAGGTTTTTTCATATTAAGTTGGTTTCTTATGTTCTTGAGTTAACGAATCAAACGTTTTTATTATTTACTAATATCCTTGGATTATTTTGACACGGTTAACCTTGTTCTTATATTTTGATTCACTGTTAAGGGTGTCAATTTTTTATACGTATCATAAAAACATGCAACGTTTTGTGCAAACCACAGAGCAAGACAGGTTAACAACGACTGTCAAGGTGAGATGCTTCAGGCATTCGATGGGATCCTTTTAATACATACACTAACAGACTATGGAGGAGTTTTGGGACGTCCTGAACCGCCCTAGGTAGAGGACTTGTGGTTGAGTCTTCCATTAGGGATTGATTTCACCTTTTCTGCCTCGAATCATGCTAGGAAGTTCAAACCCATTGGCTAAAACAGAGTCCTTGTGAAAAAGCTTGGACAATTTACTAAGCATGCTCTTCAACAGTCCATGGTGTAGGACCCTATGTTACAGACCAACAAGCCTTATGTACAAGACATCCCCTTTCCGTTTCTGAAAGTTGAAAGAAGCTTACATTTGAATAAAATTTGGGAGGGAGCAACTATATGTGAGAAAACTGGCTAACCTATAAGACTAGAAAACAACTGGAAATCATTGATCATCGATTATCAGTTCAGCAGCCTCACCCATAGTCTCCACCCCACCAGTTTCCAGCAAAGCCAGGGCAAGATCCTTCTCATTCCACTGCCTCAATCCTTTACTTAGTCTCTTCAAAACATCAGCATCCACCTCTAGCACCCAGGAAGGCGTGCATCCCACCATTAGGCTCACAAAACCAGACACGTAGGCCCGCCAAGTGGTGCAATCACAGCCAAGTGATATTTTCCCATCAAGTGCACTCGCAAGAAATTCCATGTGCACACCAAGTACTTTGGGACGGCGTTTTGATGATGAGTCAACTCCCCATGCCAGTGCCCCGCAGTGGACTGAAAAGAATGCTAGGGCATAACCCCCAAGCATGGCGACCATCCCTTTGGACCCTTCTTCCTGCTCAGACCTGTGAACAGCTATAAACCAAGATGGTAAAGTTTCTTTAAACAATGCCTGAACCAAACCTAAGCCACCAGATAACCATATTAAAGAGGCCCCGAGTGAAGCTGCAAGTTTCACTCGGGTCATTGCTGTGGTGAGCGAAAACTGTCCACACCTCAGTCCATTTTTTGATCTCTTTAACTTCTCTAACCTCTCCCTTGGAAGACCAGTGCATGCTATTTCTCTCACAGAAAGCATCATGAGTGAAATAATATCTTCCATTAGCGATACAATATTCCTGATGCTTCGGTAAACACGCAGATAGAGAATTCCTGGAGCAACTGGGGAAATCCCCCCGCTAAAATGGGAACCAAACCCATGGCCAAGAAGAGCTCCAACACCACCATTGCTTGAGATAGCTGCAGCATTTGGACCAAGTGTCGCACAGAAGCAGCTCTTAAGAAGTTGAAACACTGCATCGTTATTGTGAAGGAAGACGGTACGGGATGCAGAAAACACAAGGAAGTCAAACCATCGCTTCGCCTTTTGGGTCCACAGAGACGCCACAATTGGCATGCAAGGCCAAGGACAACCAGCCGCAAGGGATTCCAATGCTGGACCAGCCAAATTGAGAAATCGTTCTGAGGCTTTGTCAATTTTATAGGTTATGGTGAGGCTCACAAAAGCAGCCAGGGGCAGTGGAATTGTAGCCAGAGAGCTCACACCTGTGAGAATGACAAGTCTTAGTAGGAATATCTAAGAAACCATTTCTAGAGCATAAAAAGGAAAGATTTTGCAGCAGTCTTATTGCAGAACCATGTTTCTATACTGCCTATGATGGTATGATGTACATACGGCACATGTAGAGCAAAGAAATAGGATAGTTAAGTAATATTAATATAATGCTTCTGACTTGAAGTAATAATTATAATAAAAGCATCTGGAACTTGTAATTCTAGCAAGAAAAAACCTGCAGCAAGGCTTGGGACATCAACACCAGTAGCAGCTAATATTTTCTTGATCTTCTCCTCGACAATGGACAAATTTGCTGCAGGACTGGGCCAGTCTGTACCATTCATAAATACTGGTTTCCACACTCCACGGCTCACTTCAGCCGAGAAGTAGCTCACAATGGTTGCCAAAGATGCGGGAAGAAAATCAGCTAAATCTTTAAGGCCTGAGAGTTCAAAAATCATAAAGTTATGACAGCATGCAACTGGCCAAGGCTACAATGGAAAATAATTTACTTTTTTCATAAAAGGGTCATGTATCAACAAGCACCATCAGAAGACTGTCTTTGGTTGCTTAGGTTACCAGGCCACATAAATACATGCCATTTGAGAAAATCTAAGGCATTATAGGAAAGTGTTGCCAGAAACTTCCAGTTTCTCAAGGATAAGTTTTCTCAACAGAAGTTCTACAAATTTTCAGGTTCTCTATATGACCCCACTCTACAGATGAAATCAGACAGGTGTACCAACCTGTAGCCAGTTCACGGGGAGAAAGTCTTCCATGAGCACAGGCAGTCAAAGCGGCATCAACCACAAAAGGAACAGCTTCCAAGATATCCCAAGCTGGTAATTTAGGTCTTGGAGTAGAATCATCAGTTCCTGGTCCAGATGAACCGCTACTTACAGAAGTAACGGTAGTTAATGACTGGCTTCCTCTATTAATCTTTCTGAACATCATGTTAAGAAGCACGTTGACAATCTGATGAACAGGAGTTCCATGAACAAGATCAGAGAGAGTTGCAGCAAGACATTTTTGATGCTGTCGATACCAGACTTTCAATTTGGGAAATGAGTCCAAAAATACGGGCTGTGCAGATGACGAAGTCGCAACTGCTGAGAGTCTCCTCTTGTTCTGATCCTTGAGGACATTTCCAGAAGAGACTAGGTGGGAGTTTCGTACTGATAGGAGGTATTCAGGAGTTAGCTGGGATCCAACTGTGGGTACATCTCCCACTCCACGTTCAAGAGGAGGATGATTAAACCGCCATAGCTTCAAAAGAAGAGCAAATGCATTTGAAAACACAGCATGGGCAGAGATGTCTTCTCCTGTGGGCAGAGTCCATGAGACATCAGGCACGCATGAACCAAAAACCTCACAGATGGGCATCAACGAGCATGCAAGTTGTGGAACCTGGAAAGCATAAAAAAAAAAAATACAAGGGGAGAAAGGAGTTAGCTTGTGGATGAAATCAATATCCCAATCACTAATGAAAAATGCCCCTGAAGGGAAATGATTGAAGAATCAAAACAAGCAAAATAAATTTCTTGTTTAAGAAAAATAAATCCACTTGATAGATATGCTGTGTTCATTATAAATTCCAAATCCAATAAAATTCATAAGCATACTATATCATGATGATATGAGCTGTTATACCAAATGTAGCTTTGTCAATCAATCTCATCCTTTTTACTACCTTGTTCCTGTTTTCCATTTTCAGAATATGCTCCAGTCAAGAACTGAAAAGTAGCTCAACTAAATTTCCAAAATAAAAGCCTTCGACCAATACAATGGGCCACCACCAAGAGGCTTGCATGTTTATTCCCCTTCAACAGGAAACATGCCAAATTATCAAATATCATGTTTATGTCCTATTTCAAATTAGCAATCTCTGAAGCTTTGTTACATACACCCAAGCACCTTCAACTTCAATCACATTGTTCAGTGGTGCTCAAGCTACTGTTTCATTTCTCAGAGGCCAAACCAGCCTTCAAGGCAACCAAAGTACATGGTGTATTGCACAAGTTTAACCGCGCACAAAGCATCTTCAAAATCAACAAAATATATTCAAACCAACAACAAAATATATTCAATCCAACAACAAAATCATTTCTTAACAAAACAGAGGAAGATTGAGCATCAGCAATCAGGCAACTCACTCACCAAGCCATGTAGGGAGAAAATCTGAACACAATCCACAGTTGCTATTCCTACAATTAGTACATTCAGAATTGGAGCGTAACGTATCAAATGGCTCTCACTCCCAGAATATTCTGCTGGAACCGGAGGAGACAATAATCTAGTAATGAAATGAGCAGTGTGTTCCTGCATAAAAATTAAGACGTTGGAATATTTTGAATGTTTTTGGGGGAAGTTTCTAAATTGCAGTTCACTTGACAAAATCTTTCTCACAGTTACCAAGTATCTGCTTACCTGTATATTCCAACCCCGGAGAAGAGAAGCCCCGCAAAGAACTGTAGCAGCAGATATCTTCTCATCATCTGATCCCTTGACCGCAAGCTCAAATATTTTCTCGAGCTCTGCTAAGCTTCCATCAAATCCATGATCTTAAATTCAGTTGCTTTACCCTTGGTTAATTTACAAAAAAGAGCATCTGACATACCTGGCTTCAGGAAAGAAAAAAAGTACTGAAGACCAGGACAAAATCAAAGAAGTTAAGGATAAGGAAAATTTATTTACAGACTTCATCCTTGGCTTTTGTGTTGGAGGAAGCATCCACATACTAAAGGTAGCAGCTAAAAGAATCACCTCTCAACTCTTTTATGTTATTAGATTTCATTTATCTCACTTCGCAAACCATTACATCAAACCTGAAAACTACTTAGGGTCTTAAAAGTTGGAACTCACCAGAGAAGGGTCCCACCTAAAATTTCCATTATAAATAACCTCTCCATTAAAAAGACCCTAGCCTCCCAATCTCTCTAGTTATTTCTTCTTTTATAATTAAGCTACAGAATCCAGAAAAAGAGATACAATAGGGAGAAAGTTTTGAACTGAATCTTGAAAGAGCATTGTGAAAGAGATTGAGGAATGAATTGATCCAATGGACTACTATTTCTCTAGCTTTGCATACATAAGTTTCAACAATGGAAATACGATCTGGATAAATTAACAGCATCAACTTTAAGATGAAGTGTGAGTATACCTTGAAGCGGGACTTGAAACCAGAGCATTGACCATCGACGGAGAAAGTGGGACCCCGTTCATGAATGATGACCAACCAGGCACCTGAGCTGGCATGCTGTGAGGTATTTGGCTGATGCATCCATTGACATACCCTGGCCAGAAATATGCTGACGTGTCCAGTAGACTTCTTGCAATGCAAGCCTCAACAATCAGATGTCTCATGTTTCCAGCTGAAAGTAAGAGTACAAGACCTACGATTAGGAAACCTCAACAATGTGTTGAAAGAATAAGCAATGGCCCAGATTAATGAAACATTGTACAGCTGCTGTTTTGGATGCATTGAAGTGAATGTTATATAAAAGTAAAAGAGAGATCTTGGCCAAACATCAAACACTTAACAGAATGTTGGAAAAAGAAAGGATTCCTATCATTAAGACAAACAGATGACTGCAAAGTTTACAAGTGTGCATGATAGATAAATAAAAAAGTCATTCAAAAAGTTCAACATGATAAAACTAGGGAACTTCTCCCCTCTGTAAGTATTGAGGTCACTGCACTTAGATCAACCATTGCGTAGAACATTAATACCATGTCATTTTGTCTTGTTGTGTTTTAACAGATATGACTCATGCTTATGTAAAAGATTTTCTCCAGATGACTGTTGCAGTGCAATTATGAACTTCTCTGCATTTCTCTAGAAAGCAAAGCCAGTTGATACCAATGCCTCCTTGCTTCTTATTGCCTATGATTGACTGCACGCATGCAGAAAGTGAGGGATCTAGGATTGAAGACTTGAGGGACCAAGAATTCTTTTTTTTTCTCTCTCTTTATAGTAAGAGGGATTATACTTAAAACAAGTCAACTATTTTCTTTTTAGGCATTTAACTGAAAATTAAGATAAGAAAGTGCATGCGTAACAATTTTAAAAGGGAGGAAAAATTCCATCCATATGAGAATGAAATACAATGAAAGAAATCATTTCAAAGCAAAAAAAATGGAAGAAGCATTTTACTTGCAAGGATTGAACAGGGCAGAGGACCAAAAAGGCTGTGTTTTCAGTCCGTTGGAAGGGGGGCTGGCCCCTCCTGGATCCATCTCTGAATGCATATTTATGTGAGCACATGAGCTATCCACTTCCATTCTATTCACAATTCTATTCAGTTGTAAGGATGTTCTTTGTGGTTTCTGGGAAGGTGTTTGGGGTGCATTGTTGAACCAAGGAAAGCCTTAAGCATTTATTACTGCATCTATCCTACATTCCTACAAGTTTTTTTGGATCCTCAATCAAAGATAGTGTTGCTCTAAACATTGTTGAGGAATTCAGAAAGTTGTCCCATTTTCTTTTATTGGACAGGTTATCTGTGAAAGATTACAGGCCCAGATGCCAGCCTGCTACATAGTTGTGGCTTTGAACAATTGCCTAATGCACTAATGATAAACTTCAATGAAAACCAAAAATGACTTACAGCAGTTTATCGGCAGGTCTTTCATGCTGATGCACTCAGAGTATGTACTACCAACATTGATGCCTGAAACAAATAACATGGCCTTCGCAACAGCCTGATTGGCCGCAGAAACAACAGATTGAGGTGGACTCAGCAATGTCTGATAATCACCCAATAACTGTAAGCTGGACACTAAATCAATGCGGCGTTTTCCTGAAAGTTTTTTTTCTTTCCAGTGATTTGTTGAGCCACATTCTGATTCATCAATAGGCGTGTTCTCATCTTCAGCAATAAGATCAGCAACCACTAAAGTTGTGATGGATAGTAAAATGCATAAACGAGCATCCAATCGAGGGATAGGACCCTCAATGGGTTCCCTTTCCTGACAATCGAGGATAATTGTGAATGATTTACATAAATAACCTCTTAAAACAAAGAAGAATAAGCTCTCGAAAAGCTAGGGAATCAACTTATTCAATTCCGTAAATGAATGTGAAGCCTCTAGAATAAACTAATTCAATGAAAATAATCCTAGATGGGAATGCAATGAAATCCAGACCAAAACGATAATTAACAAACCAAGAGAGAGAATTTTTTTTCCCCATCCCCCTCTGGAACACCATTGTAGTCAGCATGAGGCATGTGTAGCCTTGACTTGAATGTTTTGTGAAACTTCATGTTTATGCTCCACAGCATTTCTTTTAAATATATTTATGATGAAATTTGAAATCCAGAAAAAATGGGTCCTAACCCTTTGAACAAGACGGAGAGCTGCAACCCAAAGGCCTAGAAAGGTTTCATGCCATGTGGTTCCATTTATTGCTTGAAGGGCTTTAATTGAACCTGCGCAACATGAAAACTTAAATTTTCACTCTCATTTTATACTTGTTCTGTAACAATTGAGATAACATTATACAGGCTTAAAGAATATCTCAACTCTGGCCCTACCGGTTATGATTTCAATAGCACTGGTTGCATTAACTTGATACCCATCCATGGCATCTTCTAATGCAAGATCAAGAGGAAGCCATAGGGCAGAATGACTAGCCCCTTGACACAAACCAGAGGAAGACACTAGAGAGCCAAAAGCCATAACTGAATGGAACTTTTGCAGTGAGCTTGTCTTGGATTCTCGACTCGATACTATGCTACTACCTGAATCTGTAGTCAACTGCAGAAGATCCTCAGCAGTAAGAATTTTTGAATTTCTTAATGCTGATGAATTTGTTCCAAGCAGCTGCAATCTCTGGATGAACCTTATCCAATGTGTGGGACTGAAAAAGCAGTACACAAGTGTGTGTGAGTGATTGCACATCCAAACCACAGGCCCAACTGAGCTCAATCAAGCTACTTGTGAAGAGTCACAATGACTATAGACTGCTAAAATTTGAAACATGTGACCAAGAGGAAGAGGCAAGTATAATTCATGTGATACCACAAATAAATAGGAGAAAACTTGAACCAAGATCAATTTCAACCATATTCAATTGAAGGTCAATGAACAAGCTTCATTTCAATGCCAGGAAAAACCAAACATAAATCTAAATCTCAGGTTGATTGGCATAACTAGAGTTGGATGATAATTTTAAGAAGCAATTCTTACAGGGTAAAAGATACATACAAGTTCAGGCGCACCAGGTCAAGAATCCTTGAAGTTGATTTATCTTGGAGAAATTTTCCAATCATCTCAATAGCCATTATAGTATTCATCTTATACAATTTCTCATGATACTCAGTTTGCATCTGGTTGTAATTATCATTTGCATCAATTTCCATTTCTTGAGGTTTGGTTGCCCATCTGGACTTCATCTCTGGTATAAGTTCCAACAAACCTTCATCATCCAAAGAGGCATCTAACAACTGTGACACGATTGAATAGAGAAACTCAACCACCAGAATCCCAGGACTGGTAGCTTCAAGACCAAAATTATGGGAAAGATGAAGAACACCATCTATTGATTTCATGACCCTGCAATAAAGAAGGCACAAATTACATATGTAAACTACTCTATTCTCTGGTAGACAATTAAAGGAATGCTACCTTACTTATAGCTACCTGGCTTTAGAATGCTAGCATTTTTATTAGTATTCATGAAGTGTATATACAATGAAATCATGTGCAATTAGGAGATCAATTGTAAGAAATATTAAACCAATGTGAGACATAACTTCCTAATTGTCAACAAGGGTTAAGACTTTAGCTATGTCATCTTGGGAACTATAAACGCTCTTGATCTTTCTTCCAGAGAAATTTACACCCTTAAGTTCTTTTCCTTCTTTCCTTCTTTCTTCGTTCCTTTTTTTCCCACTTCCCTTGTAAAGCACACATAAAGAATATAGCTTCACAAGGCATAAACCAGCACAGTTGGCAGCAACCAAGCACACATAAAAAAAATGAGGAAGCCCATTGGCTGTTGAATGATGACCAGAAGGTAAAAGGAGTCACAATCTAAATTGTTGGCACTGCCAAAGCAAGCAAAGTCTCCAGTTCTCATATGGTACAGAAGATGAAACTTGAACTCACATCTCATAGTTTGGCACATTAATTTGGCCCTTCAGTGCAAAAGCAAATGTTTTAAGGAGTTCCATATAAAGCCTGTATGCCACTGGCCGAGACCGTCTGCATGGAACAACCCTGTGGAAACCAGCAATAAGATGAATTCACATTAAAAAAAAAATATGTATACCGGATAAAGAAGAGATTCCAGAAATTTTCACTGAAAAACAAAGACCAAATTGCATACAATTCAACACTAATATGAAACAGACAAATCCACATCCAACCTATACAGCACTTCCCAGTCAAAGAACAGCAAATGAATACTTGAGTAATCCAAAACAGAGCTGATTAGAATTTGAATCTCTAGTTTCTGTAAGAACCACCACGCAACAAAAAAGAAATGATGGCAATGTGGGGCTACATCACTGATCTAAATGCCAAATGCCAGACACATCCATAATGAATCAAAGCATTTCTAATGTATAGACCTGTATTCCAGAGTTAAACAGGAAATCAAATCCACACCAAGATCTTATGTAGGCATTGCTTAACAGCAGAAAACTTTTCAAGAAATAAAATGCCAGAAGAATCCCAGCTTTCACTGATCATAGGTTTTTTCCACCCAAAAAAGAAAAGAAAGGAAAAAACAAAGAAAGAAAGCCCACTCCGATTATAGGAGTAAAGGTCAAACTGAAATAGTCTATGTTCAGAAAACTGGATTGAGTGTGCAATTGCTAACATAAAAGCAAGAGCTTTTGACATTGATGTACAGTAAATAACAGAATATTGACTCTTGACAAAAAAAAAAAAAAACAAAACAGAAAAGACTCAAACTTTACCAACTTTTAATCACCTCTTTTAATCACCTCAAAGAAAGGAAATCCCATCAAATTCAATAGCCAAAGAGAGGCAAAGACAAATTCAATAACAGGAACAAGAAGAAAAAAAACCTGTCAGAAAGAAGTGCAAGAACCATCAAAGGAGGCACAATCCTGAGAGCCAAGGCCTTCTCAAGAAGCTTCCACAAAATGGGCATGTTATTATCCCAGAAAATGTAAGAAACCAAGACATTAGCAAGCTCTGGAGAAGGCAAACCGACTCCATTGGAGCTCAAACTAGATGATACCTGAAGAGCCCATATTAGAGGATCACTGCCTTTTTCTTGGGCCACCTTAGTTATCTCTAAAACACTATCCCATATGGTGTTTTGCATAGACATGGCCATCTGTGGCCAGTATTGTTGTGGATTTCTTTCTTTCACTTGAGGAGCAGAAATCTTTATGGGTTTGTATTGAACAATATTACAGCAGCAGCCGCTAAGCTCCTGTTTCTTTGGCTTTTAAAGTTTAAACTAGAAACTGAACTCTCTGGGACGTGTTGGGACGTGTGGGAGTTTTAGCTGGTGACAAATGTAAAAGTCAAACAGAGATAGGGGTAGTGGTGGAGATTTAAAAATATATGGGGTCCATGTGAGGACAACTAAACCTGTCTCTTCAGAGATATGGCCCACCAAAGGAATCTTAATTTCATTGGATCTATATTGACTTAATTTAATAAAAAAAAAATTCTAACTTTGAGTGATATTGCATGTGAATATTTTTTAAAGTATTTTTATTTTAAAATATATTAAAATAATTTAAAAATAAATAAAAATATTAATTTAAAATAAATAAAAATAAAATATTTTTAATTTTTTCAAGAAATACTTTCAAAATTCATTTTTCTTTTATATTTTTCTTTAACTAGGAGAGGTTTAGACTTCAAGCGGCCAAATTCTAATCATAATTAGAAAATTTAATTTGAGTATCAACTGACAGAAAAGATCAACTAGAGTAAGGAAATCAATCCAATTTAATCTAATTTTTTTAAAATAAAATAATATTATTTTAAATATTTTTTTTTTAAATAACTTGTTTTACCTTGAAATTTTTTATTAGATGAGTGTTTTAATCTATGTTTTCCCTCAATTCGGATGAACATGATCAAAGTTTATCGGTAGAATTGGTATTTGTTTTTTACACGTCCTTAAAGCTATCAATAAACAAGTATTTTTCAATGCATATATTTGTGTATCCTTTCTCGTATATCTGTTTTTACTCAATAACACCCATGATCATGTATGTTTGCAGCCTACCTTTTTTTTAGTACAAGTGTTTTCTCACAAATTCTAATTCTTTTGAAACCACAACCCTAAGATCTACTGTAACACCATAGTCACATCAGTATTGAAGATGACGTATCACCTCCAAGTTCCCACCCACCCATCCACCCACCCATCCATCCATCCATGTGTTTTTAAATATGTTTTTTTTTCAAAAAAGGAAGGAGAAGAGGAGGAGGAGGAGGGTGGTGACAGGGGTATTTTGACGAAAAAAACCCTAAAAAAGAAGAAGATAACTAGTGGTTAGGGGGTAGGTGGAGATGATGACAACAGGTGAGTTTTCCGATCCCATCGCGTCACCAAGAGTTGGCCCAACAGCATGTTATGTGATCATAGCATAGTACTACCTTGTGACACGTTTGGACAGTTAACCTTTTCGGTTCCACTTCGAGGGGGGAGTGTGGGGGGCTGCTTTTTGTCCTCTAACATTATTGTCTGCCTCTGCCCCTTGATGTTACGCCGATGATGCGCATCCCTCCGGGGTAGGTGAGCACTCCTCCTGCCTGCAGGCTTCCCTTTGTATTATCCGCGATTTCTGTTGATAATATTTTTACATTAATTATAGAATCACTTGATTTGTTTTTATATATAGATGTATACACTAGTTTATATATAATTTAATTAATTTTATAAATTTACAAGTTAATAATTATGTAAGTGTTTAGTAGCCCTAAGAAACCTCAAACTTATAATTATTAAAACATAAATTTAAAATATGATTAATTAAAATCACTTGATTTTCATTGCCTAAACATGTTAGTAAAAGTTAGGGTTTGAAAAGAGATACGCATACTAAGCATATGTGATAATATATTGTAGAGGCATTTAAAATACATAAGAACATTAAATGAAGTGAAAGGACATTATCAAGCATGTATTATTAATTAGAAAAATGGGACCATCTTGGTCCAAAGGTTCAACATTTCCACCAAATATTATCGGGAAAAAGAGAGAGTAAAGAAAGTGTTTGTTATCGAATAGGGTTCACGTAAATTTTCAAAGGGCAGATAATTCTTGCATGAACAAATTCGATGTTTATCCACTTCTGGTGACTTACAGTTTAAGAAAACGGTAAAGCATGCAAAAAGGCGGGCTTGCGGGATGTTTAAGATGACTGTAAACACATGCCAGCTTCTATGGTTTCATTAAAAAAAAAAAAAGATTTAAAAAATTATATAGTTTTGTTTCAACAACGAGCTTTTGAAAAAAATTTAATAAAATTATAAAATAAATTAATTATCCCTAATAATTTTAAAATTATATTTGAGATAAAATATAATTTCAATCCCAATCTGTCATAAGTATTAAGAGATTATTGAACTTTGCTATCTAATCATGTTTTTGAATTTTTTATTTTATTTTCTTAAGTTTAAAGTAATGTTTTTTAAATGTATTTTTTATTGTTTTGATGAATCAATATTAAAAATAATAAAGAATTATTATGTTAATATATAAAAAAAAACAGTTCAAAAGATAATATCTAAGAGCCCACAGTATTGATTAATAAAGTGAGGTAGGTGAAATGGGTTAGTCGTCTGTGTTCCTGCAGGTGAAGGTTGGTGATCTGATTAGGAAGTGGTTAAGTGGATGATCAAGTTGTTAATTTGTCTTGGAATCTGGCTCTTCAAAGAGATGTAACAAATAGCTAACATGCTTGAGGCTGAGTCTTTGTCCGTTTGTTTTTGTTTTCATGGTTGTTAAGCGTTTTTATAAAAATTAATTTTTTTTTTTTTGGTTTTCATGTCATTTTTAATTTATTAAAGTTAAAAATAATTTTTTTAAAAATATATATATATATATATTAATATAATTTAAAAAAAAACACTTTAAATTAAAAAGTAATAGTATAGTCATGGTGATAAACTCAAAATATACAGTTGCCAGCCCCACCTATCTGACGTCCAAGGCAAGCAAACATGATTGAAGAACCTATCAGCTATAACACTAATAAATTATGTGAAAAACCAAGACTTTCCCAGCTTTGGCGCGGGTATGGTGATAGGTTACCGGACAGAAGTTTATACCTCACAACCACTCTTGTTGCCAAACATGACACCCTAACACCAAACTGACAGATGAAAGGAGTGGAGAGGAGAGGGACATGATACACTCCAGAAAGCGATAGATTAAAGGCTAAGGCTGCTATGGATGTGGCTCTTAAAAGAATTTTCTGGTTTTCCTTCCCGGGGACTCCATTGGAGATGAAGTCCAGACCTTGAGCATAAGCCTCCCAGACAAGGCTCTAGCCACTCCCTCTACCTCAACATGAGGATTCAGTTTCTTAAGGTCTTTGATTACTTGTAAAACCCTATAGTTCAATCCACAAACAAAACAAAAAAAAAATTGTTTTTTTCCCATCATCTGTCCTGTTACAGATTTGAAATTCCTTGCAAATTTATAATTGACCAGAAGATTACCAGGCTATGCAGAAAGAAAAATCCCCAGATCAAATGGTAAACAACTCAATACTCATTTAATCATGATTACAATAATTACTACTTTGACAAAAAGAAAATTGATTAAAAGCTTATGATAAAACATCACTTATTCATTTAATCATGATGACACTACCACCCCAGCATCAATTCATCAGTTATAGAGGCAGTGGATAAGTGTTTCTTTGATCATGAATGCTTCTGATGGAGTCATCTAGGCAGCATCTTTTCTCTTTCCACCCTGTACATCAAACGACTTTATAGTGAAGTGGTGGGTTAGCAGCATGATTGGAAGAAGGCACCTGATTGAACAATGACTCATTGCAATCTTCCCTCCTAGCAAACGGAGAAGACAACATTTCCTATCATGCATTCTGAATATTTTTGATTCTTCGAAAGCTCTATCATGTTCAAGAATTTAATGAATACAGCTGCATTCCAGCGCAACACACGGTGCAGAGTTCCACTTCCAAGGAGGAATTTCACTAACAAACTCGCACAGTTCCACAAGCATGTCAAAATACATGGGAAGGCTTCATGACACAAAGACAGTTCAAAATCTCTAAGCTTTAAGTAATAATTTCAATTTGTTTAGATGAACTATAAAGAACAAACAAAATATGATACTGACATTCCACCTTGAGACCATAAAATAGTGCAATATTAGGGCATGACACCTCCTGGATTACGACATCCACTAAAAGTAAAAGATATACCAACCAGAAATGATAAAACATATGACAAGTTTAGAAACGGCCCAGTATAAATAAACAATATCAGTTTGCACCGTGGACTACATGCCTTGGATTTGCTACCAAGTAGACTATGGACAAAAAGTCACCACAAAGAATAGCAACCAAATTTTATGATACATGAAGGAGTCATGACAGACGAGGACTACTAAAGAATAGTAACGAAATTTTATGATACTTGAGGGAGTCATGACATACTAGACTAGAAGTCCTCGTCCATCTTGAAAACATAGTTTTTCCCACCATCTTGCAGGCTTGACATAACAGAAGCCTTTTGATAGTCCCCTACCCTTCTCTCAAAGAAATTTGCTTTCCCTCTGCACAATGAAACAAGCAGGTAAAAATAAAACAGTGAAATTTGAGTTCCGAGTAGAAGACATCATACTTGATCCTACCCCCGCCCGGCCCAAAAGCTACAACATCAAAATTCAAAACGTGCAAGGTCAAAACATGGACTTTTTTTCTTTCTTTAAAATGCCCACCAATTTATATGTGAAAAGCCCTTGGTGACATTACCACCTAATCCCATTTTTGCACAACTCCACATTTTAACATGGTGGAAACAATCTGTAGACACGTTATTTGCACAAGTTGTTTTTCAATATCAGTTTTGACCATTACTACCCTGTCCCATTCTTTTACAAGGTCAGACTCCTTTATTTTTCTCACTCCCACACTTAATGTGCTGAAACCACAGACCCACTACGGACCAATGCTTCTAAAAAAGAAACACTGTTTTTGTCCACACAGTTTATGATAGAAGTTTGGACTCCGTGGTTGTTGGGTTTTAAAATAGACTAATTTCCAAGAGGCACCGAGCAGAGGCATATGGTGCTTTGTTGAAAATGATAAACCAGTACTGCCAAAGAGCAAAGAAACAAAAAGTTAAGACAAATGAATCAGGTGAGGATGTCCCAGTCATTTTGCAATGCATTCACAAGGTTACTATACTCACTGCAAGGATATGAATTCCATCCAATCAAAGGGATTTTCAACACTGTACTTCTTCTGATAGCCCAAGGCAACCTGAAAATAAAGAATACA